AACTCTGTTGCAACACAACACGAAGCCAGCGTAAGACACTTTCAAATTTAACCACGTGAAGATAAGTTAACTTAACCTTATTTCTGCGATATTTAACTGAATTCAGACAAGACCTTAAAATAAAAGTGCGAAATATCGTCAAGAATTAATCTTCTTTTTCCGTGTCATTTGATTTTATTTACCTAACGATGAAAATGTTGTTATATTAATTTTTAAAAAAAATTAAACATTTATATATTTTTACTTTAAAATAATATTATTTCAGGCCAATGGTGAGAAAATAACGTGCTGTGGAAAGGATAACACGTAATAAATAATATTTTTATAACATCACCAGTGCAAAACTTGTTCTGGTGATGTAAAGCGGAAAATTCAAAGATCACACAAAATACACAAATAACATTTTTAAAGAATCAATTTTTTTTAAAAAAAAATTTAATTCACGAGTAAAGATTTGAAAATAATACGCTCAAATTTAATTCACGAGTAAAGAAGATTTGAAAATAATACGTGGACTATAAATAAGTTGAGGATAAAACAATCTAGAAATTGTACACAAAGCATAAAAATTCTGGTGCATTAGCTAGAATCTGACTGTTAACCTTTACGACGGCAACAGCGATGCCTTTGCGTAGATCAGGTGCCTGACACCTGCGTCGTCGAGATATGTCGTCATCACGGAGGATTCCTGATGTTTTTGAACAGCTGACTGATAATTCCCCACCCAGTAACCTTTAGCATCGAGAAACACAAGTAGAATATATATCCGTCATAATTGTTATAATTTTGACCAAAATCGAAACGTGGTAATAAATTTTAAGTTTGAAGTCCCCAACATCAAATTTAATAAAAATCCATTCAACTATTCTTCAGTTGTTACTCGAAAACGTAAAGTTCGACACACACAAAGCGTATTTTTTCAACTTTTACAAAAATACACGATACAAATTGTAAACGGATAAGAAGAACCTGTGTAAGATGGTTGGAGATAATAAGACGTTAGTGAGACCAATTACGTGACAGCATGAAGATATTGTGCTAAAATATATAGTCTGTTAAAAGCCAAACAGTTATTCCTTCAGTAGAATGCCCCTGAAAACAGACAAATGTTCCTACAATTAAGAATATTACGAAGCTGAGACGTTTACGAGTCGTAGCTTTGAGAAAATAAAACATCTGATTGCACGTCGACCTGTACAGATGACTCTGCTTCTTAATGCTTTTCACAGGAATATTATCTACAATCTATTAAGAATCTGGATGAAACTGAAATTAAGTACGGGTCCTCAGGTAATTCAAAATTGTTCTATCTAACCTACGAATTCGTATTACAGACACACGTAACGTGGTCGAGGCAGCAGGCTAGGAGCGAGTCACTTGCACGATCGTCTAATGTTTCGTCTGCCTATCGGAATGAAAGCTCAAACAAAAGAAATACGCCGACCGTGCCACCTTAAGGCTTTGACCGGGATGTTCTTTTGTTAAATCTTATGTGGTACCGCCTGATTCGACTTCTAATGGTTAAGTGAAGTGTTTTCTTCGCGGTACGGTCTGGATTCGTAAATATTATGAAGACGAGCTTCGGCTTCAAAGGGTTAACCAGCTGATTTTCGTAATGGTGAGGTGTAGTGTTTTCTTCGCGGTACGGACTGAATTCATAAATAATATTCAGACGATCTTCGGCTTCAGTACGCGAGTAGGTTTGTTTCATACGTACCCTCTTAACACTCTTCTGGAAAAGGCTCGTTATCTGCCCCTGCCTAATCGTGTGAACAAGTTCTCTTGCCGCGTGATGTGGAGATACGAGCTCTACGCAGTTGATGAATCGGTACAGTTTCTAGAACACAACACAGTAAAGACACGTGACCCACTTCCGAAATGTTCTATTTGTCGAAAGATAAAAATACTTTCAAATAATAAAACGAAAAAATTAACGTCATAACGAGAAATGTGACGTATTTATTAGCTATTTTACTCAATGCGTCATTATATTCCATACGATTTGAAATTTTCGCGGCGCTGAGTCTGAAGTTCGCCGTCTTCTGGGTTGTGGCGTTGCGTACTCTCGTACAAGTTCTGCTCAAAAATCCATGTTCTTCTTAACATATTATTTGAAACGTCAGTAAACTTTTACGAGACGACGGGACGCGAGAACTCAGAAGGCGGCCATCTTGTTTCATACGTACCCTCTTAACACTCTTCTGGAAAAGGCTCGTTATCTGCCCCTGCCTAATCGTGTGAACAAGTTCTCTTGCCGCGTGATGTGGAGATACGAGCTCTACGCAGTTGATGAATCGGTACAGTTTCTAGAACACAATACAGTAAAGACACGTGACCCATTTCCGAAATGTTCTATTTGTCGAAAGGTAAAAATACTTTCAAATAATAAAACGAAAAATTAACGTCATAACGAGAAATGTGACGTATTTATTCCCTATTTTCCTCATTTTTTTAACGAAATCTGCTCAAAAATCCATGTTCTTCTTAACAGAAACAATTGAATAAAAATTTTCTTAGATATTATCCATCGTCTAGTAAATATAAAACGTAAAA